GCTAGGGCCATTAACAGATCCTCCAGGTGTCCCTTTCGGATAAATGTTGGAGGGTATGCATTAAGAAACAATATAGGGTTATTGAGGGCCATTAGCATTGCAAAAGAACTGTCCCTCCCTTTTGCCTTAAGGTGTGAACAGATACTGGGAGTATCTGGCGCCAACTATAGAGGGCTCCGGGTGCTTGGCACCCACACCGCGAGGCCTACAATGTGACTTCCGGTGCTTCACGAGACCCTAAAAGTCGCAGGGACTCTGAAGTCTCCTCTTGCGAGGCCTCCAACACAACTTCCGGGAGAAACCAGAAGTCACGTCTAAGTCAAGCAAGAGTCATTGTCAGAGTTCAAGGTCACATTCCAGCCCGGTGAAAACGTTCAAGGAGGACATGGAGCCGGTCCAATGGGGGAGTGTGGCCTATGGAAAAAGGTTGTGGCTGGGGAGGGGGTGCGGCCTGAGAATAATCTCAAGGGCCAAGGAACGAGAGGCATGAAGGACTGCATTTGGGCCCTGGGTCAGACATGATTGATTGATTGATTGATTGATTGATTGATTGAATTTATATACTGCCTTATACCTGGAGGTCTCACAGGAGAAAATCAGAATATCAAACCACAAAGTACATAATCAAAATAAAACAACAACAATCCAATAACCGCCCCCCCAACACATTTTAAAAGGGCATAGGACGTTCCCAATCCTTGCAATAAGGGAAGTAGGAGATTCTTTTGCCCACCATTTATTTCATTCATATACAGTGGTAATGTTGGACATTTTCCATATCTGTTATTAGGTCCTCGGAGCACAGATTAACACGAAGTGGCAACCAACCCTACAGTACCTCAGGTTAAGTACTTAATTCATTCCAGAGGTCCATTCTTAACCTGAAACTAGCATAGCTTTACCAAAGGGGCCTCCTGCTGCCGCCGCGCCGCCGGAGCCCGATTTCTGTTCTCATCCTGAAGCAAAGTTCTTAACCCGAGGTATTATTTCTGGGTTAGCAGAGTCTGTAACCTGAAGCATATGTAACCCAAGGTAGCACTGTATTCGCGAGTTCACCCACCTCTCAAGTCTCTCTCTCCTATTAACACAAGCGATGCCTGCCCCTTTCTGTGGTAGCCAGCATCCCAAACATACAGATGTGGGCAGCTGCCCTGCTGACAAATGTCCATAATGCCAGCCGTTCCTTGGTTTAAGTGTCTAGGGAGTGGCGGCAACAGCTGCTGTTGCCGGACGCATTAAAAGCAGCAGCCGCCACCAAAAAAAAACCTGTGGCATTTATCTTATTTTATTTACAGTAATAAGGTGCCTCTTGAACAGCCTCTAAGTGCAGTACAGTAAAATCAATAGAGAACATTAAAATCAGGAATAAAAACCAGCCAACCCGAATAGGTTCCCAACCAGAACCCAAATGCACTTAGCACAGGGGCAATCTTTTCAGCTCGGGTCTTGACCAGTTAGCTCCCTCCTGCCTCTCCGAGATCATAACGGGGCAGCTCCCACTTTACATGGGGCAGATTCTTGAACTCAATACTCAGAATATTCTCAGCACAGACTGCTGCACTAAGAGAAGCTGGCACACAAAACCGGGACAAGACAATCGCTGTAGCCTCACCCAAGGGATGGGGTCATAGCTCAGTAGTAAAGCATCTACTTTGTTTGCAGAAGGTCCCAACTTCAGTCGTAAGGCTGGGAAAACACTCCTGTGGTCTGGCTTGGTAGAAGGCTGTTACCTATGTACATGTTAGGATCGTCCTACTCTCGTGTAGGACCCTGGTAGAGACACATGCCCGACTGGCATGTTCTCTCCCTCCTGGTCAGTCATTCAGGAGTTTCAAAAGCTTTCTCCAGCCCAAACATCACAGCAACTGATACCAAGAGGCATCAGCACACTTATGATCCTGCAGAGTATTAGCAGTTTGCGTAACAGAACTCAGTAGCATAGCATTTTGGCTAATCTACTTTTATTTACATATAATACACTCGGGGCATTCTGCCTTAGCTCCTTCCTCTTTCTCATCAGACAGCAAAGAGAGAAAGAACAAAGGACAATAGTCCCGCTTCACAGAACACAGTAATACCAAAACATCCTGTCTCCGTCACTTCCCATGCTGTGGAATGAAAACATACACCATCATGTGATAGACAACAATCTCATGACTGCAAACACGGAGCAAAAATCCTAACAATAGTTACATGTTCGTCCGGGATCAAATCAATAACTAACTGGTTTCTTCTTTCTCAAATGGGAATATCTGTTAGGGATATTATAGGTATGGTAGATCTTGAATCTCAAGGAGGGTGAACTTGGTAAGCTTTGGAGCTCTGGGGCTTCCAAGAACTAAGCCCTAACTTTGGTGTGAGCCCATAGAACTGAATGGGACTTGCCTCTGATCAGAGATGCGGGCAGATGCACTAGGAGTCTGGGATACCGAGCAGGTAGAAGTTCTTTGTGGAGCAGCCCTGCCAAGCATAAACATGCTGAGATGCAGAACTAACTCTATGGCTCCCTAATGCTGCGTTTGCTTTCTTGCCATTTGTTTAAAGATTTCATTCCGTCGTATAAAATGGTCTGAAACATTGTTAAAGCTGGCCGTCGTGATTCCTGTTTTCGTTCCAAATGACCCGCTGTCACTCCCCCCCCTTTTCTCTCTCTCCCCCTACACCTCCTCTTTCGCTTTTTCTGTAAAACGGAGTGGTTGATTGCTTTGGCTGCGGTTCAGCTGGCTCCGGCCCTCTAATTCTCAGGACCTTCAGACTCAACGCTTGTAAACTCTTTTCGTTCCGTTTCAGCTTGTCTAGTCACAGTTCATTCAGCGGAAGGGGGTGGCAGTCCTTTGACGACTTTTCAGCAGCGACGCCGGCCAACATTCGCCAACAGAACATGCTGTTTCATTGGATCACATCCCAGCAAAATAGCTGTGGACCACGCTAATATCATACAACAGTGAGCTGGGAGAAGTGAGTCATGCACAAGACGGGAGCAAAGACATCAAAATAGTTGTTGGAGTGCAGAAGCAAAGGCACAGCAGGATATTCAGAGGGATTTTGTTTCTTTTCCCTCCACTAAAACAGATATTTTATGTCTGTCTGTCTTTCTGTCTGTCTGTCTGTCATTCTGTCTGTCTGTCTGTCTGTATGTCTCAGTATATCTATATTCTGTTTCATTGCCCTAAAAAGGAAGCTCAAAGATACAAGCCCATATTTCTCTAAAGTGTGAGGAAATTCAGTGCACGAAACTTTTTCTCATCATGATTGCACCCCATCCGTCCGTAGGCATGTCTCCTTTTCCTCTCCCTTTTGCCTCCCTCCTCACGTAAGCCCTGCCCCACATCACTGATCACATGAACATGGCACATGCACACCATTTGCCCGGACCACTCAAATATTTAATTGGAGGGGACGAAGGGACCTCGGCCCCGAGGAGTTGACTCCTATCGCATGCTACAGCCTCCTTTTCTGAGCAACTCCAGACCCTCCAAGTGTCCCTATTTTCCAGGGACAGTCCCGGATTTAGAGAAGCCGTCCCAGTTTCTGATTTGATCCTGGAATGTCCCATTTTTCCTTAGGATGTCCCTATTTTCATCAGAGAAATGTTGATGGGTATGGAGTTATCTGACCCACGAGTCATCCAAAGGCAGTTTTTTAATGTTTAATTATGATTTTATATCTGTTGGAGGGCACCCAGAGTGCCTTGGGCAACCCAGTCAGATGGGTGAGGTATAATAATAATAATAATAATAATAATAATGGAATAGGATGTCCCTATTTTCATCTGAGAAATGTTGGAGGGCATGCAACTCCTAATCCCACACACGCCTATATATTGCACATGCACTGTGGCCTTCCAGGTATTGCTGGACCCCAATTTCCATAATCCCCAGCTAGTATGGTCCATGGTCAGGGATGATGGGAGTTGTAGTCCATCAACTTCTGGGAGGCCACAGGCTCCTCAGGTGATTTCTCAGCAGTTCTTGATGTGGAGGGTTCATGGCACTAAAAGTGCCTGTCTTTCACACTAAAAAGTTGGCAATAAACAAATTATAAAACTCTGATTGATATGCCTTCCTCCTGAGACTACTTGCTACAGGGCAAGTAAAGTTAACAAACAGCTTAGTATACAGAGTTCCTAATTTTTTTAACAGAGTTCCAGCATCTCTCTCTCTCTAATTCAAGCAATATTATGAATATATATTGTGTCGTTTAATTTTTCTTTGTTTCGCTTGACAGCTGCTGGCAGAGACGTGCTAAAACAGCCGAGAAGAACCAAAGTTGTAAAAAAAGAGTGGGGAGGGGTGTTGTTGTTTTAATGTGAAAAGGAGAAACTTCTTCACTCAAGCAGGAACTCCCCCTTGTGGTAGAATCAACGAGGGCTGATGAAGGCTGGTCCTAGCTATTGAGGCATAATAGTCACCCACAGTCCCTTAGCTATATAGAAAACAACAACAGCAAGAGCCACTGGGTTCAGAAGCATCTACGCTCCCAGCTTAAAGCTCTGCCACCTTAAGGATACACACCACGTTTTGTTTGCATAAGAAGTAACCTTTCACTGTTCATGCACCTCCAGGAACGGTTATGGCATCTCAATATTTCATTGGTGTGAATTAATCTTTTACAACATCATATTCAATCTCCCTCTTCCCAAATTCTCTTTAATTTGAGAGTTGACACCTTTGACGGATGGAGACACAATTATATTTTCACATTTATCAGCACGTTTTTTAAAAAAAAAACAAAGAAACTATGTCTACATATAATTTCACTTTATGTTGTTATGGTTTTTTTTAAGTGGCGCCTACATTTAAGGCCCCTCTTCAGCAGAAATTAATTGGGTTTCTCTTTGGGTTGCTTGAGCTATGTAAAAAAAGGTCTCGACAGTTATGACCAGGTAGGCTGATTGTAAGCCTCAAAGGGACATTTTTCTGTATATCTTTAGGAGAGGAGGACTGGGAACTTGGAACATTCTATAAATAATGGTCTATCGGTGATCAAAGTATGTGGCTGGGGCAGCCCGGCCAGATGGGCGGAGTATAATAATAATAATAATAATAATAATAATAATAATTTATTATTTATACCCCGCCCATCTGGCTGGGCCTCCCCAGCCACTCTGGGCGGCTTCCATAGAAACCAAAAATACAGTAAAATATCACACGTTAAAAACTTCCCTGAAGATGTCTTCTGAATGTCAGGTAGTTGTTTATCGCTTTGACATCTGCTGGAAGGGCGTTCCACAGGGCGGGCGCCACTGCCGAGAAGGCCCTCTGCCTGGTTCCCTGTAGCTTTGCTTCTCGCAATGAGGGAACCGCCAGAAGGCCCTCAGCGCTGGACCTCAGCGTCCGGGCAGAACAATGGGGGTGGAGACGCTCCTTCAGGTATACTGGACCGAGGCCATTTAGGGCTTTAAAGGTCAGCACCAACACTTTGAATTGTGCTCGGAAACGTACTGGGAGCCAATGTAGGTCTTTCAAGACCGGTGTTATATGGTCTCGGTGGCCGCCCCCAGTCACCAGTCTAGCTGCCGCATTCTGGATTAGTTGTCGTTTCCGAGTCACCTTCAAAGGTAGCCCCACGTAGAGTGCATTGCAGTAGTCCAAGCGGGAGATAACCAGAGCATGCACCACTCTGGTGAGACAGTCCGCAGGCAGATAGGGTCTCAGCCTACGTACCAGATGGAGCTGGTAAACAGCTGCCCTGGACACAGATTTGACCTGTGCCTCCATGGACAGCTGTGAGTCCAAAATGACTCCCAGGCTGCGCACCTGGTCCTTCAGGGGCACAGTTACCCCATTCAGGACCAGGGAATCCTCCACACCTGCCCGCCTCCTGTCCCCCAAAAACAGTACTTCTGTCTTGTCAGGATTCAACCTCAATCTGTTAGCCGCCATCCATCCTCCAACCGCCTCCAGACACTCACACAGGACCTTCACTGCCTTCACTGGTTCTGATTTAAAAGAGAGGTAGAGCTGGGTATCATCCGCATACTGATGAACACCCAGCCCAAACCTCCTGATGATCTCTCCCAGCGGCTGCATGTAAATGTTGAAAAGCATGGGGAGAGGACAGAACCCTGAGGCACCCCACAAGTGAGAGCCCAGGGGTCTGAACACTCATCCCCACCACCACTTTCTGAACACGGCCCAGGAGGAAGGAGCGGAACCACTGTATGACAGTGCCCCCAGCTCCCAGCCCCTCAAGACGGTCCAGAAGGATGTTATGGTCGATGGTATCAAACGCCGCTGAGAGATCCAGCAGAACTAGGAAACAGCTCTCACCCTTGTCCCTAGCCTGCCGGAGATCATCAACCAGTGCGACCAAGGCAGTTTCAGTTCCATGATGAGGCCTGAATCCCGACTGGAAGGGATCCAAATGGTCCGCTTCTTCCAGGCGTGCCTGGAGTTGTTCAGCAACCGCTCGCTCAATCACCTTGCCCAAGAATGGAAGATTTGAGACTGGGCGATAGTTGGCCATCGTGGCCGCATCTAAAGATGGTTTTTTAAGAAGCGGTTTAATAACCGCCTCTTTCAGTGGGTCTGGGAAGGCTCCCTCACGGAGGGCAGCATTCACCACCCCACGAAGCCCATCGCCCAGTCCTTCCCGGCTAGCTTTTATAAGCCAGGATGGGCAAGGATCCAGGAGACAGGTGGTTGGTTTCACTCGTCCAAGCAGCCTGTCCACATCCTCGGAGGTAACAGATTGGAATTGATCCCACTCAACTTGACTAGACAAAACTCTAGCACTCTCCCGCCCCAGCCCTGCTCCCACGGTGGAGTCTACTTCTTCCCAAATCTGAGCGATTTTATCTGCAAAAAACTTTGCAAAATCATTGCAGGAGAACATGTGGCCCGTACTGGGCCCTGATGTTGCAGGTGGTTCCGCTAAATTGTGAACCACCTGAAAAAGTCTCCTGCTGCTGTTTTCTGCAGATGCAATAGAGGCGGTGAAGAAATTCTTCTTCGCTGTTGCTATGGCCACTTGGTAGGCTCAACGTTGAGCTCTAACCTGTGTCCGGTCAGATTCGGAATGAGTTATCCGCCACCGGCGCTCTAGCCGTCTCAACGATTGTTTCATTGCCCTCAGATCCGTGGAAAACCACAGGGCTGTCCAGGCTCCATGCAATCGGAGAGGGTGCTTTGGAGCCAAATAGTCAATAGTCCTGGTTAACTCCACATTCCAGCGGGCCACTAGGGAATCAGCTGAAAGGCCATCAACATGGGATAAAGCATCCCCTACCACTCTCTGGAAACCATTTGGATGCATTAAGTGGTGGGGGCGTACCATCCGAATAGGTCCCACCTCCCTGCAGAGGGGATGGGTCGCAGAGAAGTCCAAGTGCACCAGGAAGTGATCTGACCATGGCACTTCTTTCGTTTCGCTTTTACTTAGTGTCAGATCACCAACATCCATAGAGGTAAACACCAGGTCCAAGGCATGTCCGCGGCTATGGGTTGGGCCAGACTTATTCAGGGACAGCCCCATGGAGGCCATGCTTTCCACGAAGTCCCGAGCGGCCCCTTGTAAGGTAGTGTCGGGATGGATGTTAAAATCCCCTAGGACGACCAAGCTAGGTGTCTCCAGGAGAACATCCGCCACGACCTGAAGCAGCTCGGGCAGGGAATCCTTGGTGTAGCGGGGAGGTCGGTACACCAAAAGGAATCCTGTACTGCCCCTATTGCCCAACTTCCAGAACATGCACTCGGAAAACTGGGTCTTCCCAATAGGACGCCTGGTGCAAACTAATTACTTCCTAAAAATCACTGCAACCCCCCCCCTCCCCGCCCACATGACCTGGGTTGCTGTGCGTAAGAGAAACCTGGTGGACAAGCAGCGGCAAGGACAGGCCCATCTGCTTCATCCAACCAAGTCTCTGTTACACATGCTAGGTCAAGTCCTCCATCCATGATCAAGTCATGGATGGCAGTGATCTTATGAATCATTGACCTGGCATTGCACAGCAGCACCTTCAGGTCATGTGGGTATCCCTTGCTGATTCTAGTATCCATCCAGTCAGGACCAGACCCGGAGGCAGGAATAGTCCTCAGACAACAACTAAACCTGCCCCCTCTGTAATGACATGGTCTAGTGTTAGCGTAACTCCTCCTCCTACCCGTGATCACTGAGATCGGTTGTCCCAGTGCATCCCCCCCTGTGGAACATGCCCCAGCCATTTTGTGGGCTTGGGCCCACTCCCTGGCAGCCCTGACCCCTCCCCTTAAGAACAAAATAACACCTTAAACAAACAAACAAACAAACAAACAAAACCAATAAAACAATACAAACAAAAAACTGTAAAAATTACAAAAACATCAAAATCAAAAAAATTCCCCAAGCCCAACCAAACATCCATCCCACCCCCACCCCCCACATACAAAAAAATCCAAAAGAAATTTTTAAAAACATTTTAAAAACACTCTGTGCCCCTCTGGCAGTAACAGCAACTGTCCTAGGCCCCGCCCCAGGCCAGATGGTAAGTGGCAGGAAGGAGCAGGGCCCTCAAGCACTCACTCAGGGGAGTCTTCCTGGGCAGCAGAGCAGTCCTTGTGAGGCTTCAGGCCCCGCCCTAGGCCAGATGGTAAGTGGCAAGAGCAGGGCCCTCAGGCACTCACTCAGGGGAGTCTTCCTGGGCAGCAGGCAGCAAGCAGCAAGCAGTCCTGGTGAGGCTTCAGGCCCCGCCCCAGGCCAGATGGTAAGTGGCAAGAGCAGGGCCCTCAGGCACTCACTCAGGGGAGTCCTCCCGGGCAGCAGGCAGCAAGCAGCAAGCAGTCCTTGTGAATCATCATCATCAGAGCCAGATTTAGGTTTCATGAAGCCCTATGCTACTGAAGGTAATAGGGCCCTTTATACCGTATGTCCAGCTATCCTTTGTCAACAACAAATTGTTGCTGTTTTTTGTGTTCAATATATGCTATATGGTAATTTATGGACATAATAGGTATCTAAAATCATTTGCACATAACAAATAGGAGCCTACACAACACAAAACACTGTTGCTGTGTGTGGGTTTTATTTTATTTGTTTTTTATCTTAGATTTTGGAAATGCACATTCAGGTTTTTTTCCTTTAATTTTTTGAGGGGCCCCCAAGAGAGTGGGGCCCGGAATGTCCAGCCCACATTTTACCAGCTTCCCTGCAAGAATATCATGGGGGATTTTGTCCAAAGCCTTACAGAAATCAAGATTAACTATGTCCACAGCATTGGAAAGCTTGTAACTCTGTAAAAAAAAGAGAAGAAGACGAAGAACTGAGATTTGTCAGGCTTGACTTGGTTTTTGAGAAACCCATGCTGGGTCCTAGTAATCGCAGCATCCTTTTTCAAGCGCTCACAGACTGTTGAATTATCTGTTCTAGGACCTTTCCTGGTATTGATGTCAAGCTGACCAGTCAGTAGTTACCTGGGTCTTCTTTTCACCCCTTTTTGAAGATGGGGGCCTTTGCCCATCCTCGGTCTATAGGGACTTCACTTGTTCTCCAAGATTGTAGACAGAGGCTCTGAGATTACATCCACATACTCTCCAACATTTCTCAGATGGAAATAGGGACGTCCTATTACGTAATAATAATTTTACTATTTGTACCCTGCCCATCTGACAGGGTTGCCCCAGCTCCTCTGGGCAGCTTCCAACATATATAAAAACATAATAAAACATTAAACATTAAAAAACTTTCCTATACAGGGCTGCCTTCAGATGGCTCAGAGGTTGGATAACCCTCCTACATGTTCCAGCAGGCCTTTGGTCAGGGTTCAGTCTGATTCTTTTCTTTCTGTATAAGAACAAGCATTAAAGAGGCCTCCTAGCCCGCTCACAGGTCCTTTATAAGACCAGTGGTAACAGTTGGCCCTTAACCACTCTCAATTTTACCCACGGACTGCCATCTGTCCAAATTTTAATTTTGTCTGAACTAATTTTAAGATGTATTTTAATTAATTGATTGCCTGTTTTTATGTTCTTACGTTCTTTGAATACTGTGTTAGTTTTATGATGTTAGCCACCCTGAGCCCGGCTCTGGCCGGGGAGGGCGGGGTACAAATAAAATTTTATTATTATTATTATTCTCCAGTGAAAATAGGGACATCCTAAGGAAAAGTGGGACATTTTGGG